TTTAAAAATCTAATGAAATAGAAACTAAGAGTTGAATTATATATTCTTTTTTATTCAACTGATGGTATTAAATAAAAGTCATATATATCTAATATGCATTAAGTTTTGTTAATCTATCACAAAAGTTTATTGAAATTTTATAAATTGTTACATTTTTTTGTTTAGAGTCGAAGTGATCTAGATACATCGAATGATGGTGAACTTCATACTTATTTAGAAAATCATCATTTAAATATAGTTGATAACAATAATCATACACTTCGTAAAATAACAAATAATGTTTTTTCAGTTATAATTAATATTGAACAAGCAGCACATTTACCAAATGTTTATTCTAAACATGAGTAAATTGATTTTTATGTTAATTAATATTTTTATTAATTGTTGTGTTTTTTTCTTGTTTTAAGAAATGCTCATATTTCACCAAATCCATATGTTACTTATTCAACAGCTGATTCACATCATTTATGTCGTACACAAATTTTAAAATCAACATGTAAACCTATATGGAATTATCAACAATCAGTTAAATTAGCTGTTGAACATTTATTTAATGATAAAAAAACTTTTATACTTAAAGTTTGGCATAAAGTTAATGCTGATATTGAAACAATACCAGGTAATGAAATCATAAATAAAAAAAATATTAAAAAAAAAAAAAAATTAAAATTTTCTTTATTCAATCTAATAGAAAAATCAGGTGATACAGTTCTTGGTTTTGTATCTATTGATTTAAGTCCATTACTTTCTGGTTTACAACAAATATCTGGTTGGTATAATATTGTTGATACAATTGGTAATATTCAAGGACAATTAAAAATTAGTATTATACCACAAGAAGATCTTCTTGAATTAAAACGTTTTAAATATAAATCAAATCAAACTAATATTAATTCACATCGTTCAACATCAACAACAAGTGAAAATATATCATCAACAATTATTAATGATCTTTCAGCAAGAATTGTAAGTTTGTAAAAAAAAAAGAAATATGCATTAGGCTTCATTGTATTATATTGAAAATATTCTAGAGTACGGGTGGTCAAACAAGTTTAAATATATCAATGATTGATGATGACAACACTAAAAAATCATTTTTAATGAACAATCTTCAGTGAGTAAATCTATGTACATTTCGAATACTATATAATCATTAAATCTTACTGTAAAAATTTTTGTACAACATTTCTAGTCAATTTTTTGTCGATTTATACCAATATGAGATAACATATTTACAAAAATAATAAACTTAGTCATAAAAGCTTCCAAAATAGTACCATTTTTTTTAGGTATCGAATATCTTAGAAAGAATGAGATCTGTTGTTGATGATAATTTCTTGTAACGATGTTTTTTCCTAATTTCTTGTAATATAGAGAAAAAAACACCTAATGATACAAACACTTTCATACCTTTCATCTATGCTTGATGTCTTACCTTTGAGAAAAATATGAGTTCAAACATAGAACATCAGTTGGCAAGGTTTCTCTATATGAGAAAAACTTTAATGAAGACCAAAAATGAAGTCTATATATGTATATATGCACCATACACTAGTTCATCGAACGACGTTATTATTCTACATATCATGTAAAGCACTGGAATGCCATAACAATCTTAAAAGATTCCATCTAGAGAAGTTATACATGACAGAAAAAAAACTTATTTTGAATAATATATAGTTCAAAAAATTCTCTCTCATAACTTTTAAATATACAGAGCAGAAGCATCTACCAGTTATTAAAAAAAAAAGGTTTTAACTAAGAATTAATAAATATGCTTTTTTTTTGTAAGGCGTCATTTAAGTGAACTTGGTGTAATTACTGAACGATTAAAAGCTCGTTTATATTCTGGTTCAGAAATAATTTCAACAACAAATGAATCATCATCTACAATGATGAAAAATCGTTGTCAAAGTGTACCACCACCATCAACATTAACACCATTTAATTTATCATTAAATACAAATTCAATTCGTCAAGATATTGATACAACACGTTCGACAACAACAACAATTCAAACAGATTTATTAGAACATTTTCCTGAATCACTTAGTGGTCGACCATTAATGAGTAATGGTCTTAATGTAACTGATGTACTTTCACACCATAATGATCAAGTTCGTCTTGCACAAGAACTTATGACAAAAGCAAATCATTTACTTGAAACATCAAAAGATTTGTTTAATAAAAAACAAATACCAACACCACCTCCACCTTCAACATTATTATCAACTATAATGGAAAAACGATCAACTCCATCACCACCACCAATATTACCAAATTTTAATGTAACAAATGAATTTCGAATTACAGAAGGATCACCATTAATTACTTCTAAAAATACTGAACATATTACGTAAGTTTTCAAAAAAGAAACCAAGTCTCCTTTTCTTCTTCAAATAATAGATGACAAGCTGATTCATTTTGAATTAATCTATTAGAAATAATATTACTCACAAAAAAAAAACAATTAGAGTGATGGGCAGCGACAGACTAAAGGGTATTTAAAATGTAGATTATAATACTGTACAGTGGCTTCCAAATTTTGTCGATAATATTCTTTTTTTTCATCAGATATCAAGTCTAGATTGTAGAACTTTTTTTTTGTAAAAATCAGAACGAAAAATAATCTCCTAATGACAAAATGTTGAAGGAAGTCGAAAGACGTTTCATCTTTTAGAGAATTACTCAATCCACTAAGAAATTAAAACAAAATTGTAATAGAAAATGCTCAGAGCTGAAAATATTGATTTTAGGTTTTTGAAAGACTCTATCTTCATATAATGAATTCAGTATTTATAGAGGGGATTGAAATTACAGATTCTCATTGAAAATACGATCTTCATCAGTTATAAATACATTGAATTTTTTCTAATGCATGGCTACATTGAAGTGATCAATACTCATACATTGTATATATATTAGTGACGGACAAAAGTTTAGAGAAAATTCAATTCTAGAGTTTTGTTCTCAATGTTAATGACTAGCAAGAGTCCGAAAAAAAAATTCTGTTGCTGCAAAGATTATCTATGAGAATTGGCAGGTCTGAGGGTCCTCAAAACTAGTTTCTGGTTTCTTTCAGCCACACAATCGTTTTTTCTGCATCTTGCTAGTAATAGCCATTATACTTATAATAATTCTTTAGATTAGCATAAATATATGATTTACAATCTATAATAAACAAAATATTAATAATTTTCTTTTAAATTTAAAATTAAACAGTAGTTCATTTGAGCCACAACATCATAATAATTCAATAGTTTGGTCTGATGAAGAAGATAATGAACATGATCAAAGTTTTTTACCTATTGGTCTTCCTCCTAATCATCATCGTTTAATGACATCTGTAACTATTACACAACCTCCACCCTCACCACCACCACCACCACCGATACAAACGGAAGAAACTTCTACACATTGGGAACAACAAGATGATATTGATGTAGTTCAAATTCGTCCATTAAATAATATATCTGCATTCAATTTTGACTGTCAACAAATGAATGCAGATCGACTTAATGGTAGTTTATCTCCAAAACATACAACACGTCGTAATATATTTTCAACTGAACCAATAACAAATAATCAACAACAACAGCAACAAATATCTTCATCATTTACAGATCAACATAAAAAATTATCACCAACATTAAGCATTGAACACCAATCTTTCTCATCATCATCGTCATCATCTTCTTCTTCTTCTTCATCACCACAACCACCACCACAAGCACAAACACAACAATCATTTAATTCAGATACATCGATTATTGATAGAAGTTGGTTAGAACAACAACGGATACGTAATGCTAATACACATTGTGTAGTACCATCAACACTTCATGATCCTTCAAACACAAAACAAGTATATTTCTTTACTTTTAAAAAAATTAATTAGAATTACTTCTGATGTTTTTTTTTTCAGCCATCAAATCGAAGTTCACATTTAGCATTTCTTGATCGACCATTACCAAAATTTTTTCCATCAAATCGTGAAATGGAACAATCAATGAAACATGTTTCACAAGCACTTTCAACTACAAATACTTCTTCAGTAAATCATTTTTAAACTTCTTTTTTTTTTTGTTGTATTCGTCACAAGAAAAATTTCCTTTAAAATAGACTTCAAGTACTAGTCCAACATCATCATCAAATAATGTAATGAAAACAATCATTGATCGATTACGTGCAAAACCTTCAAGTGAATTATTACGTGGTCTATCACCATTGGATAATAAATTACTTCAACAATCGGAATCATCAAATTCAACAACAGTAAATGTGACAAGATTAGAAAAAATATTTAAAACAAAATATACAACTACTCCTTCATCGAATTGATTCAAAAACCTTTATTTATTTTTTTTTTCTTCGTTTCTAGAAACAACTCTTTAGTTTCTTGTGTATAACAGTGATGTTATAACATATAAGGTTCTATTTGAAGTTCAGATAGTTACAATGTCTTCATTTATTTAATTCAAATAACAAAAGTTATTATTGTAGATCTAGTCTAGAGTTCTTTTTTTTTTTCTCTTGTAACGATATAAAATAAAATAATTTGGGTTTGAATTAATTTATTGTTTATTTAAATGAAAACAAAACTTTATCATTTTAATATTATTTTAAAGATGTGAGTGGATAAATATCGCCGATTAAGTTCGACTTTGAGAGCACAGCTTCACAGGCCAAGCGATTAAAAAATCAACGCTTAGTCTGCGAAACAGTGACCTCATGTCTCACATTTATTCTATCACACTCACAATATTTAATCAAATCATATCAAGTATTTATTTGATAGAAGTTTCAAAACACTAGTCGGTGATTATATATTATGTATCGATTTAAATCAAATTTTGAACCGTTATTTTCGATAACACGTGGTTGAACCGTTGAATATGTGTGTGTGTGCTATCCTCTCATTGTATAAATATATAAAGATTAAATGATAATTTCTTATTGAAAACTTTATATTTTTTTTTTAGATATGATTATCCAACAAAATGGATATGCCACCAGTTCATATGTGTGTATTTTTGAGTCATGAACATGAACTACTTAAAACAGAAATAGTCGAACTTAAAAATCATATTACTTTTCTGGAAGAAAAAATAGCTGAAAAAAATCTTGATCATACTCGTTCATGTACAATTTCATGTCAAACAGATATTTTTATTCCACGTCGTCCATGTCCATCAGAACCTATCAGACCGTCTTTTGATGAAGAAGCACATTTACATCGTCTTATCAATGCTCAAAATGAATTATTGAGAAAATATGAAAATGAAGCTATGTATCATCGACAAGAACAGTTTGAATCATCACCTCCATCTGCACTTATTGAAGATTATGAACGTCGTTTAATTCGATGTCAAAAAGCGAAAGAACAAGCTGAAAGACGAACTGTTGCTATTCAAAAACGTATGACAAAATTAGAAAAACGATATGAAAGTATGCGTCAAAAATTGAGTGTACTTGATGATGAGTTTTTTGAAGAAGTTAACGATCTTAAATTTGCTTTACAACAAGCAACACATCTCAATCGAGAATATGAAAAAACAATACAAATGTTAAGTGCTCAACTTGGTATTACTTATCCAGTAACGGATATTTAGATTGTAATGGCATCCACTTGTTTTTTCAAATGATAGATTATCATATAATTTGTAATTTTTAGAAAATATATTTATGTTAATTTAATTCGTTTTCTGTTTTTAATAAATGAAGCATTAAAAAGTTTTTCATAGCCAAATTATTCGAATATTAAAATCAAAAGATTTTGAAAACTAACGAACGATGTAGACATTTTTTTTTTCTTTTTATATCGGTTTTTCTTAATGATAATTCTGATGCATATGCGACATGTTCCTTATCTTATTGATCGAACTTGTCATTATTTAATAGATGAATAAATGAGTTGAGCTTTTTTTTTTTTCTATGGAAAAACTCCAATGCCAACAATGAAACAATAGTTATATTATGGATGACAATAGATTCGTATTACAATTTGTAGATTATTGAAGCAATCAAAGGTTTCAAGTAATGAATTTTCATGTAACATGTTGATACCATTGGGTAATATATGTTTGCAATGGTAGACCTTAAGTTGAATAGAAATATCTACTCTAATTGTTTAGAGTCTTATGAAATTTGTCGAAATTCGGTGAACACGCGCATAGTCTATCAATGTTCATTGAAATCCCTAAAATTATTATAAGAAATCGACTTGATCATCGTAGAAATGTATTTAATATGCTTGTTTTCATTATTCTGAACAACCAAAAGTAAAGTTTTTTCAACACATAGATACATGATTAGGAAATATCTCATTGATTGCTGTTTCATGTCTTTCAGATATAGTTGATGTCATAATTGATGATTTTATAACGTAGAAACATGAAAGAAAACTACGGAAAATTCAGCAATATATTGTTATTCAGCTGATTTTTTATTCATTCTTATCATTCGGAATACTTTGCTTTCTATCATTAGATATTGTTTGTCTATTAGAAACCAAGTCATGGAGATAATTCTATGAGAATGTTTAATACGAAAACTTATTTTAATTTGTATTAGAAATTGTTTTTTATAAACCGTTGTTTGTCTTAGAAAAAATGTACAGTAAATAAAGTGCAAGCATGTTTTCATTTGATCCGGTAATAAGATGAAATGAAAAACTGTAGAATGCACCAGCAAATTTATATTAGAACCGAAACGATGTGATGTCCAAATTATCTAGCACATCACATCAAGTATTGTCAGTTTTAGTCTCTGAACGCAATGTCCGTTACAATGACTAGATCGAAAAAAAATCTTTCAATAACATGTTATTATCTGTGAGGTTCGCCATACGAATGAACGAAATAAATAAAGCCATTTACAACAACCTTCTATCTTGATTCCAGAGAAACAAGTTTTCAGAAGTTTAACTCTTCATCACTTCAGGTGTCCGAAAAAGTTTTGTTCGATGTTATATTTAACAATTTGCAAAGCTTTCAATTGTCTTGAATTCATCCGTATGTTCTAATTTTTAACTTAGAAAAACAAAAATTTTCAGCATAAAGGTGTGTTTGCTTTTCCATTCGTAATAATAGCTTATATGAATGTTTGTTGTTTCACAAGAAAGACGCCAACATTCATACGTCCTTCAACGCTTGTACTTTTTCTTATAATTCCTTTTTTGTTGTCAGTGTCCCAAGGATACCGAGATCAGTTCCCTCGGACAAAAACGAGTACATTTTTCTATTAGCTCGTTCTCCTCTATACTTTATTATTATATCTTCATTTGAATATGCATGGATAAAGGTCAACATTTTTGTTTCACAGTCAACTGAAAATTTTGTATAAAATAAAAATAAAATCCTATTAAATAATAACTTTATTTACGAGTACTACCTATCATTAAAGAGTGCTAAGTTAATTAGAAAGTTACCTTTTAGTACATTAGAAATTTTTTTACCTATACTTTCACAATGATACAATATGAAAGGTGAGGTGTGGGTGTGAGTATGAATCTTCAGTTCAACCACACCACACTTGCTCCCGCCCCCACACTACTCAAACCCCACCGACACCTACGCTCACACTCAAATCCATATCCATCCCATATCGATACCCAAATCCACACTCTGACTGCGTGAAATATATGTAATTTTAGCAAAGAATCGGTCTTTATGTTCGTAATTCGACAAAATCTACGAAACTTCACTCTGTCAACAGCGTTTTTCGAAAAGCTTTGTTTTGCGCGAAAGTGTTTATTCTTGTTTCATGATAAATTTAATCTCTCAAGAATCTACAAACGATTGATTCTAAGATTTACAATGAAAATTACCACCATTAGTATTGGCAGGAGAATTATGATAGATGATAATCCACTTGCCGAATTGCATAAGTTTGTATTGCAGCAACAACCCGTTCCACCGCTAGCCGGATCCACTTTACACTCAACTTCTGTGCAATTGCGCAATCCTGGCTGAGGTCCCAGCCAGTAACCGCGAACAACGTAGTCTCGTCCATCTCTCTTTTCAAACGCTTTCACACACCAGCCATGCGTTGCATATGCTGTTGGCGTGCTACTGTGTACCTTTGGGCAATCCAAACACGTGTAACAATCAATTGCAACGCCTCTTTGTGCAATAATTAAAACGATAAAGAAGACGATGATATTCATAAACTTTATATTCATATTGTGAAGGTTAATTTGAGTAAAAATATTTATCTAAAATACGCATGTCTTTATATTCATGGCAATTAATATGAAGAAAGTAGAAAAAACTGTTAAAGCAATCATTGTAAGACTAAAATGTGAGATACGATCTAGCTATTATTGTTAATCGTCTGAAAAATGTTTTATTTTATGTATACTCGACACATTTCTTCATCATCGTTCACTTTATTCGAGAGAAAATCGCAATAAGGAAGCACTTTATTTATTCTAATTAGATGTTAGTGAAACATGGTCACTGGTAGCTTCAAGAGGCCATCTGTCACGATCTGTGAGGCCATGACCAGCGCACAGAAAACAGTACCGTATCGAACTTAAAAAAGGTTTCGATTTTTCGAATGAAATCAGCACCTTTTAAAGTTTCTTAAAATTATGGTTTCGTACAAAACCACTTTGGTCTTACCTGAGAAATGGTTTCGTAGTCAAAATTTCGTACTAATTCTAATGCAACACCAATCGATCTATATTGAAATCAACGGGCCCATATAGATCTGTGGATGACCTACTGTAACATCTAATTACACTCCTCAATTCACATCTCATTCGTTACACTAATCTCTTCATCTATATCCAAATCCTTATTCTATACATATCTCCTTATAATAATGCCTTAATCTATATCTATCATTGTATTCTAACCCGTAACCTATATCTGACTCCTTATTCGATATTTATCCTTTAAGTCTTTCTTCTCAGCCTATCCATATGAATAGGTGTGTATTCAACTACATTTGTACATTGTGTCTGTATTAAATAGCGAGACCATTTTGAAAGATAGCAATTATTCAGAGAAATCTGAAATTTTAGCAATAGTCCATGATTTAATTATTGTGATACTGAAAACTTTGATTGGTGACATTATGCTGTTCACCAATATCAAGGATGAATGGATCGCTTGCAGGTTGATATAATTATTAGTTTGTGTTTCTTTTTGTTGCAGTATTATTGACAAACATGTAGGAAAAACAAGATCGCCTCAAAGTAATGCTGTTCCAGTCACTTTTTAAGGCGAGGAAGATCTATTTTTTGAAGATAAAACTATTTCATTTACTGATTGTATCAGAGTTTTTCCTGTCAGGTCTGTCAAAACGTAACTTCAGAGCTTGCAATCCGTTTAGAAAACTGTATTTTCGTGATTCTCATATTTTGCTGTCCAAGTCTTTTAAGAATATCGTCATTTTTAAAGGATATAGATGTAGGTGGGTGTAGATGAAAATAACAGCTACATCCACTCATACATTTGCCCTGATCCTCCCACACCCTTTATGTGGCGTGAATCATTCTGTCCTCTCTATAGCGCTTTGTCAGATCGTCAGATACTTTTCGCTCTGTGTCTTATATATAGCTTTGCGACTTGAAAATATCTTTCTTAAGACTGAGACATTATTCTGAGATTCGAAGGGTTTTCTCGCACTCGGAAGCAATAATATATGTCGGCGTAGAGATTCCCCTTCATTGGTACGAATTGTTATATACCTTTAATCTTTTTCTCGTGTGGCTGAGACACTCATGTAAGGCCCACAACTTTTTGAGTTCTATTATCCTTGTAGCAATGCTCTGAGGTACACAGCGTTTTCCATAAATATTATTTAATGAGATCTGGCAAAGAAAGTATTTATGTTGATACTTGTGCGTTGCTTTGTGAATGGAAGATGATGCACTCCCGCGCAGCCGGAAACTTGTTGGACTCATCCTCATGTGTTGCTGTATGGTCTAGTGCTATTTGATCTCATCCTAATGCATAGCTGTGGCACCTAGTGCTTTGCCTCAACGTTAAGCATTACCGTGCGCGCTCGCTCTGCTCACCCGTACCCTGACAGATTTGCTGACACCAAAGCTGTTTGCTCTCATTTTCACGGAGGGCTATCTTATGAGGCATTTTTTATTTCATTCTAACGTATTCATGTGTGTCGCAACGCCGCTTGCTCTTAAATGACAAAGTCTTCCTCTGGTTTGAAGCTATTCGTCTTTAGTCTCACTCATTGCTATAAGCTTCGAAGTCTTTTTTTTCACACTCTGAGAAATTGCTCTGTCAGCAACAGATTTTTCTCTCAACCAGACTTGTGGCTTTATACGAAAAAGTAATAGCCGTGGTCCTGACAGCTTCCTACATGATCCGAAGCTTGGCATTTATAGCCATATTTTAGAAGTTTAATAGCATCAATTTTATAGTTTCTCTGATGAAATTTGTAATTACGCTATACTGATAGCTTGATCATAGTCTCTTGAATAAGTGACAGTGATGAATAAAATAAAACAAAGAGAAAGTTAAGTAATGATATAGACTATAATTAACACATTAGAATTGACACGTATGAAAATAAAAAACAAGCGTGAAATGAATGCAAAGAATTCAGCCAACAAACAGCTAAGTGAAACATATTTATTGGCTAATCTACTATAGCAAAAATTGGCCACTAGTTTCGATTCCACGTTATTTCCATCCTTTCTAATAATTCAATCCTATCTGTAGCATGTCCATGATTTTTAAATGAATTTGATTTTCTATTCAAATTATTCGACTAAGCTACTCACCACAGTCCAATGATTTTCACCAAAATAGTCGTGAAAACTTCGATGGTGCGCGGTTGTCGATTTAAGGTTATATGGTGTAATTTGACGCCGGTTGTTCTTTTTCTTAAAATACTTTGTATGTTACTTTTCTTATCTTATCCTTTTTTGGTTTGTTTGAATATTTTTCAACTACGCATCTTGTTGAGAACGATACTACTTATCAAAAGTAAAACCTTCAAGGTTAGAAGTATACTACGACTAAACAAAGCCAAGGGAAAAAATCATTATCATATAAGAAAGTTCATTTCAAATAGAATAGACACAGCAATATGTACATCTGTATAAAGTTAGGTCGTGGACATCATTCAATACTGCGCCACAAAAAAACAGAGATCATCTTCATTTACGATTTTTTCGTGAATATAATTATTGACAGTTAGAAAAGTGCAGCTATTCTACGGAAGGATTTGTAATTTATCCAAGAGTTCATCGGAGACGTAAATGTAAGTACATCTTAGGGGTATGTATGGGTGTAGACATGATCCGAATAATGGCATGCACACTCACTCCGCGCAATCACAGCGACATTCACACATCCACACCCACACCCACCCATTTATTAATAATCATATCGATTGATTGCCATAACCGTTTTACAGTTTATCACCAAGTCCGAATATGACCTACTTATCTGAAAATTCCTTTAGGTTTAGTAATAAATTGCTCCCTCGAACTATGATTTAAGCGGTGAAATGTCAAGTCAAGGTTTTGACAGGTGTGTTCAAGGTTAGCCTCAGTGTTAGACTGAGCGTTGAGATATATTTTAAACAACCACAACAAGCTACTAAAATTTTTTTGTATTGGACGTCCAGAAGCGGGGGCTTCCTGAAACTGGGCAAACCTGGACAGGGGGCCCAAAAATGCGATTTTTGCCTGGATGTTCTTTATGGATGATCTCTAATACATTTTAGAAGTTTTTCTCAAAATAGAATTTTTCGTTTCGATGTTTCGCGTGTCACAGAATTCTTCAACGTTAGAAATGCTAGAGCGCTGTACTTCGTGTCAACATGAAGGAAAAAGTCAGCTATACAACTTAAAACAGACGAATTTTTCCATATTTCAGCAGAAAAACGTTTTAAAAGAAAGAACTCTAAAAAATTTAAAAATCAGGCTGTGTTAGGTAATTGATTCGGATTATCATAAATTATAAACCAAGCATAAAGTGCATAAAAGAATATCGAAGTGATCAAACGTTACATGTAAACGTATGACTCAACAACGATGATCGTCTTCAAATCTTTACAAAATCGGAGTTTTTCTCTCTACAGTGCTAGTCATAATTTTTGAAGTATGCTTGGAGTAAAAATAGACTATTTAAAATTAAACAGCAGTTCTTTTGAACAACAACATTATAATCGTTCAATAATTCGTTCTGATGAACAAAATAATGAACATGATCAAAGTATTTTACCTATTGGGCTTCCTCTTAATCATCATTGTTTAATGACATTCGTAACTATTACACAACGTCCAGCAATACATATGGAACAAATTTCTAGAAATCGAGAGGAACAAGATGATATGGATGTTGTTCATATTCGCCCATTAAACAATACATTTGCATTCAATTGAACCAATAATAGATGATTAACAAAAAATATCTTCATCAGCACAAACGCAACGATCATTTAACTCACATGCATCTATTATTGATAGAAATTGATTAGAACAGTAGTGTATATGTGATGCTAATTTTCTGTATCACCATTAACTTTTCATAATCATTCAAACACAAATCAAGTATATTTCTTTATTATAAAAATATTAAATAGAACTACTTTTTAGACATCAAGACTTAATTCACATTTAGCATAAATTGTCAATCGTATACATAAATACTGTCAATTACAAATAGTTCTTCAGAAAATCATTTTTCATAGATCATAAGTACTAGTCCAACATCAAATAATTAAATGAAGACAATAATTCAAAGATTTCATGCATCGTTTTTACATAGATCACTATTTTGCGATTGATAGAGAACGAAGTTTATGTTTTTCACATTGCTGTGACTAGTTTCTATCTTGAATTAGCTAAGTTACTCTATTAATCCATATCTTCTGCAGCCAGGTCAATGATACCAAAGCCCGAACACAAGTAAAGTTCACGATTTTCGGAGGTTTTTACTGTCGAAACCAGCCCATATGCATGCCAACCAGCATTCTTCTAAAGAACCTATCAATTCATCTTTTAAGACATGAGCGACATCTATAAATTAAGCATCAATAATTCTCTTTTTTTTTGTGCTATTATTGTGGTACTAATTTAGTTATATAATAATTTGAATATTAGTTAAATTATAACTCTACAATCTATTTTATTAATGTCCGTAATGTATCTCACAGTCGTATTATTTTTTCGTTATATTGGATTTTATTTCCCAAGACAACAATAATGTAACATCATTAGTGGTTGAGAGTGACTCATATATTTTTTTTATTGCGACAAAATTATATTTCAATGTCTCATTTTGTAATTTCATTCTTTAGCTCATATATTGATTTACTGTTGTAATTTTGGTTTTTTCTTAATGTAAGTATGATTATAAATTTGCTAGTTTTATTGATTATTTTGTGGCACATTTGTTTGCTTGTTGTGTTTAATCAAGTTTGCTTTTAAATAATGTCATCTCTTGCTAATTGTTATGATCATTCTAATTTTGTTCCTAAATCAGAATATGATTCATCAGTTAATAGACAAAATGAGGTTTGCTATTTAATATTTAAAAGTCTAGATTTATTTAATATTTATTCATTTTAGAGTATGATGCATAAAGTCAAAGATGTTGTTTCGAAATTTTTTCAACCATCGTTTTTATTCACAACTAGTAGTAATGAAATAGATAGTCCTGTAAGTCAACAAAATGTTCACAAACTGTTCTTTTTTTTTATTCATTAGCAATTTCATTTTAGAAACGAAAACGACAAATATCTATTGAAGAATTAGATGATGAACAACAAATTGAGACAATTGCAACTACTACAATAAAAAATCAAATTATAGCATCAAAATCAAAATGTAAGAGGATTCATATATACGAAAATCATTTATATTAATAATATATGATTTAAATATTTTTTTTTTTTGTAAACTCAGATCTTCATCAACCTGTCAGAGACGATGAATCACAATTTACTGATGATGATGATAATAATAATCAGGATGTATCATCAATTGAACAAGATTTAAAAGAAATCGAACAACAAAAAAAACGACGTCGTACAACTAATTATCAACAGATACATACAAACAATCGTCATCATGAAAATGAAAAAACAAGTATAAGTTCAATTCTTTTTTTTTTTTTCTTAATCATCATTATTATTATTTATTCGAATAGATTCAACAGATAGTATTAGTTCATTATCAAATCGTCGACTTCATCGTACAACATCTACAGAACTAAATTCTAATGAAAGAATAAATCGAATTATATCATCTACACAACATTTTAATATCACATCAACATCAAATTATGATCCATCAAAATCACCTTTTTTTTCTGTCGATAATAGAGTAAGGAAGTTTTTTTTTCTTCCTCGTAAAAAGGACCCTTTACTTTATTGAATAATATAAAAAAAAACATATAAACGATGGTTGATACTATCAGCTATCGTGATATATCTCATACAAAGATAATCTATTGTACATCAGCAAGTACTTCGATTGACATGTTATATATTTATGCTTCATTCTAGAGAGTTATAGGTTTTTTGCGTTATCGATAGATGATATATGCGCATACTCTTCGAAATGAGAGAAAAAGAAATTTTCTAATTAATCGTCAATATTGAATAGATATGCAGAAATTTTCTTTCATATATGGGTTGATAGTAAAAAAAAGACAAGGATCCATTTGCTTGCCTTGTTATATCATTCTTCAACTGATTTTCTTGCATCAGGAATCTTGAATATAATGCTATGGATCTGGCACCATGTAACTTGATGAACTTGTTTCTTGTTAGTACTACTTTTTGTGTACTCTAATATGTACATATATAGATGGTTAAGCATTGAAAGGCAGAAGAATGATGTAATAGCATAAGCAAATATAACATTGTTTCTCTTATCAGTTCATACAGAAAGAAAGTTTCTTACAAAAGAACTAAAGTATCATCGCCACTGTTTTGAAGTTTAACCCTTGAATGATAAAGTATGGAAGCAAGAAAGATTTTTTTTTTTATTAGTACACTTCCATGATAGAAGTGAACGGAGGACAGAAAAAGTTGCCTAGTTCTTCTTTTATGAGTTGAATATATGTGTCAAGTTTCATCAATAACGGAAATTAATATTTTATTGTATAGAAACAAACGGAAACAACAACAACAACAACAAATCTTAAATCGAATGAATTTTCAGCAAATTATTTACTAGCAACTAGTCTAACAGATCGACCTCAATTATCTAAATCAAATAGTCAACAATCATCAGCAACATTAACAAATAAAAATCGATTAGTAAGAAAACAAAATTTTAATTTTCAAATATTTTACTTTTTTTTTTTTTAAAAAAAACTTTAGTTATCAAATGAACGAAAAATGTTTGGTGTTAATTATGCATCAATTAATTCACATCGTTTACCTTATATTGAAAGACTTCGTCGACGAACTTTACAAGATTGTATACGACTTGATCGTACACTTGATAATGAACCGTAAATATTGAAAAAAAAGAAAAAATTTATCTTCACTTCTATTTATAATCATTCATTTCTTTTTTAAGATTATCTATATCACCAATTGATGAACACAAATTGAAAACTAATTCTTCAGAACTAACTCGAACAAAAGTACAAGAAAAAGAATGTGGTATTCAATGTAATGTAAGTAAATTATCTTTGAAAATTTCATCAAAATTATTTTGTTGTTTTTTTTTTTACATAGATTTCAAATGTTGAAAATTCAATAGAATCAAATAAAAAACTTCAACGTGCATTTCCACCAATTGATATTCAATATGAAGCATTATCAGTACCAATTACTGAAAAAACTCAATCATCTACTCAAACAGATTCATCAATTCAAACACATAGTTCAATAACAATTGAAAAAGTACAAACATCACTGCCAAAAATTGATATTACCAAGCCTAAAGTAAGAAATAAAACACTATGAATAAATAATTAAAAATTTATTTAAAGGTACTTGGTGATGTTACACCATTCTCATGGCCAAAATTTGCTCGTGCTCAAGAAGAATATGCTAAAAAATATCCAGAAAAATGTACTGATACAAGTATGTCATTTCTTTTAACTAATTTTTATTTAATTAATCTTATTTTCTTTAGCACTTTCTAAAACAAATATTAATACAAATTCAACAGTATTTCAACAAACAAACACAACTTCTAATACAATATCAAAATCATCAACACTTCCTATGTCATCATTACAATCTGTTCAATCAATTTGGAAATGTCCTTCATGTACTAAAGAACATCCAGCACAAACAGCATCATGTTCACTTTGTCATGGTATTAATCCGAATTATAAAAAATTAAGTGGTTAGTAATGTTAATGAAATATGAAATGATCATTGTGTTTATTTTTCTTTTAATTCAGCGATTCAATCAACATTACCAGTCGAAAAAGAATCAACTATACCTATACCTGCTGCTACTACCATTATTAATCAAACTGTAACAACAAAAGAAAATCCAGTGATCACTCCTGCTCCAATAACTGCTAATCCACAATTTAGTATAACGGCAACTAAAGAAAATCCAGTGATCACTCCTATTTTTGGATTTGGTACA